ATGTTTTTTCATTTCTTTTTGTTGTATCATCATCGTTTTGTTTCTTTTTTGTCGTTTACTCCTCCATCTTTTCAATTTTAACTAGTCACTTTTTAAATATTACACTGGGCACGTTCAAAGTAGCTAGTCTGCTTACCGACAGTGAATGACTGAATATGATTGGTTTCGACCTGTGAAGCTAACCATCATATTCAATCGCTCAGCGAGCAGATTTAGCTGTTTACTCTTGAATTCGCTTCATCATAACAAGATTGTTGACAAATTCCATGACATCTGTATCCGCAATAGGCTCATGATTTATCAGCAAATCTTAGCGACAAAACTTGAGGCCAAATTGATGCCAATTGACGAAATATCGAGTATTTTACAATAAAACTTCTATTTTTTTATTTACTATAACAAAATATGACAATCACTCTTGATTTATAAATTTTCACGTCACTGTTGCGTGGATTTCACAATGATGAAATAATATATCGATACTTTGACTAGCTAAAATAAAGTACTAGCTGAATTACTTGCTGAGGACTTCTTCACATCGATCAACCTGACTGCCATGCCGGACTTATTCTTGGAGAAGTCAATTCTGACGAAGCAGGACGGTATGGACATAATCTGCCACGCGAGCGCATGGGACTTTTACGACAGCAAGGATTTCAGGATTAAGCAGTGTTGACGCGCGTCAACATGGAGGACCTGATGACGGCGCATCACGAGATGGGCCACATCGAATATTATCTACAGTACAAGGATCAGCCCACGATCTTCAAGGAGGGCGCGAATCCAGGCTTCCACGAGGCGGTCGGTGACGTCATCTCTCTCAGCGCGCCCATCCCGCGTCATCTCAAGGTCGGTCTACTACAAGACGACACGACCGACCGGGAAACATTGCTCAATCACCTCCACGCGAAGAGTTTCGACAAAATCGTCTTCCTGCCGTTCGCTTATATAATGGACAAATGGCGCTGGAACGTGTTCCAGGGAAAAGTTACGCCCAACAATTACAACTGTAACTGGTCAGTATTTTAGATGAACAAAAATCTGTCCCTTCGTATTACTTTCTTTTTTTAACAATATATACCTCCTCGAATAAAAATTCAATAAATCAAATTTTCAAAAACATTAAATTTAAAAACTACTTTCTAAGTTTTTTATTTATTTCAGAATGCGTACATACGAGAGCGGAACTTGTGAACTAAAGTTAAGTATCACGATAAGCTTTTGGAATAACCTATTCTCCATTAATGAGAAAAATATAGAAAATACATTTTGAAACGAACATCAAGTAGCATTTTATGCAAAAAAATCTAATATATAAAAATCATTCCAGAATCACATAAACGTTCCGACCAATTCGAGTAGCAAACAATATTTGTGATTGATGCATTAATTTTGTGTTTCAAGTCTCTAAATAAAAACAAGCATTCCATCTTTTAATATTATTCCTATTTTGCTTTATCACGTCCTTTTCCGCGTTTTTTAGCTGGTTCGCTCGCTTTTCTCGTCAATGCAGCAGCTTTACTCGTACGTTTTTTTGCCTAAAGCATACGTTACGTGATTTTATATAAATATATATTTTTTTTTATTGATATATTTTATAATAGAATCACGAAATAATTTTTAACGCTACCTTGTTTATCTTATCCAAATTAATATCGTCACTCTCTTCCTCATCATCACCTTCCTTCTTCTTAAGACCGTTATCCTGCCTAGACCTTTTCTTTACAGTAAATATTACAGTAAAGCTGTCAATTGAATACGGCAGTATAGGATTCTTTTGATATGCTCGCGTAAACGCTGCTTTCACCTGAGATAATCATAGTGACGTTAATGTAATTAAATTTGTATAAAATAATAAACTAATAACAGTTAAAATCTTTAATCATTGTTTTTATCACAATTAAAAATCTTAATTGTTATTAAATAGTATTTATTAATATTGTACATACTTTACTATTAAGATTACTCGTAGGATCGCGAATTCCTGGCCAAATAGAAATTTCTATTGCCGAATCAAAGTTTTCCCTAAAAAAAATTAAAAAAAATTAAAAAAAATTAAATATAAGCATACGTATGTATGCCGTCGTGTCTCTTCCAGTACATTCACAATGCAAATAAAATACGAACCTGGTCAAATGATATTTTCTCATAACATTTACAGCCTTTTCTATACCATCTGCACCGTTATCTATCAGAGGTTTTACGATAGCGTTTCGAATATGTGTCAGATAATCCAAATTCAGGATATCCTTGCTTGCACCCGTGGCTAATCGCGTTTGCATCGCCAATTCTTTCATTAATCTAGAAGCAATACAGCGAACGGAGTTGCTGCTAATTCGATTTAATCGCAATAAATCGCGTTATAATAAAAAGAGTAGTATTCCGTAATACCGGTTAAATCTCGTGGCCTTCGAATTTCGTCCGAACCAGCTGGGAAATCGTATCAACGGATCGGAGTATCCCGACATTTCAGTAGTTGGTATGACGAACGAGACACAAGCGTGCATCGGAAGTAGATTCCACATCATACTGCTCCTCATCATCTTCTCGACGAGATCTCCCTGCGATATACTGTCAGTTGCATTGGCAATTTTTTCTAGCCTCTGATAACTGCAAATGTAACAGAGTCTATTAATTCTCAGTCTTCATTGCTACAAAGATATGTCGTAACATACTTACGGTGACGCTTGAAATAATCTAACTCCCGGATAATTTTCTTGTACAAAAAGGGGCGCTATATTGTAGTCGTGGAAGTATAAGCCGATCTTATCGTCCAAACTCATATTTTTCTGCTCTTCCGCGTTGAACGCTTTCTTCGTGAAGTCGAACGGACTGAGCTTGAAGTTCTTATTTGAATGTTTTTTACCAGTCGCCTCCACGTAAGACACGTTCTGGCTGCCGAGGAACTCGAGATGATTTATCACTTGTCGGATATCGTAATTCGTCGACTCGATTAAACGATCGAGATCCGCCGTCGAGATTTTGATGTTCTCTTTGAAGCACAGAGACTTCATTGAACTCTAGTAAAGAGGAATATCGAATTATATCAAACAAGAAACGTTACTTGGGCTAGATTTTGCAACTAAATTCTGTAACCTGTACCCTGATCTGTTCCACTCGGAGCTTCGGATATTTCAGGTCGTAGCTGTGCGTAGAAATAGTCTTCACCTTCATGTTAAGTCGGTCATTACATATACAGATAACTGGCACTTCTGTGGATTTTATCAGCCTAACTAATTCCTGTAGGCCACCGCGATCCTCGTCGCCGGCCATACCGTCGACCTCGTCCATCAACAGCACGTATTTGCTCGTAATTTTTTGTTTATTACCTGTAAATGTATTGCGTGTCAGACAAGAAAATGGGTACACGATTATCTCGAGAATTTAAATAATATGTCCACCTGTGACATAATCCTTCACCGTGAGGTTGGAGCACAGTTCTGAGACCATTTCCTTCAGAAACGTCTTGTTTCTCGTGTCTGAGGCATTGAATCCCACAAGATCGTATCCCAATTCCTTACAGACAACTTGCACAGTTGTCGTTTTACCGACGCCCGGCGGACCAGACAGCAAGGCGGCTTTGAAACTTTGCCCGTGAGTTTGCTTGCCAGCTATTGAAACAGAGAAATTAAATTACAATCAGATTAATATCCTCATTTTATCTACAGTATGAGTTGACAAAATAACGACACAATAAAAGTTGACGCACTGCCGTCTTGGAATTTGGGATCCTGACGATTTTTATGCCAATCACGCAGCCATATGTACAAATTGTGTGCACAGCTCTTATCTCCTTGTTGACCTACGATCTGCTTCATCGTTTTCGGCCTGTACTTCTCAACGAACGGTTCTGACTTAATACTTGTTACTGTCTAGAAGAATATAATAAAAGCAGAATAAATCGCTTGAAATCGTTTTAAACTCTTATGTCATTTTGCATTATTTCTGCGTATGCATGTATGTCAAATTGATGTCTGGATACCTTCTGTGTATTACTGCTTGTATCCGAAGTCTGTTTTGACGGTGACATTTTCGTCGTCACACTGGTTTTCACTGATGAGGGTGATGGCGTTTTTATCTGCTTAGGTGAATCCGATGCTTTTTCTTTGTTCGACGATGGCAATTTCTCGCTCTCGAATTTACTTAATATTTTTTTGCCTGAACTACTGGCCTGAAAAGTTTTGTTTCATACAAATAAGAAGCGAAAATGCGTATGCGCGAAAAATAAAACAAGAAAAAGAGAAACGTCCGCGTTTGCGACTTATGTAAATGGACCTTTAAAATCATGTGAAAAACGTACCTTTGCCAATTTGGATGGGCCAGCTTTATCTTCTCCTATAATATAATTCACTTTGTTCGATACCGTGTTTACGGTACGGCCACCGTACTTCCGTGTGAATTCATCAGCTTCCTCTCTTTCCAAGGAATCCAAAGCA